CTCCCTGGGGCCTTGGTATGCATTTGTTCTTCTTTCCTGCCCTTTGAACTCATAAAGGTAATTGTTCTGTGTGTTATAATCAGGCCAAAATGAGGAGAGACTGCACAGATGGAATGTTAGGGGAGGATAGCAACAGGATAGGACCAGATAAAGTTAATGCTGGGAGCCAATGTGGGATAAAGAGCAAGTGAAATTGTTAGGATCATGCCTTACCCAATCAGAACCAGGGACATTGGACCTAGACTGTCCCTAAGAGTGATTTCAAGAACAACAGACTATAAGCACCCAACACATTATCCCATTGGCCCATACTCAAGTCCAGAAGCATGTGGAACCAGCCTTCTAGCAGTATTAAGCTTCACGGTTGCCTAGCAAAGCATCTTTCTCTATTCTTTCACTTCCGGAGATTGACCTGTCTCAGAGACTCTCTGAGATGTATCTTTTCTGATAAAACCATCTTCTTTATCCTGTCTCCTCCTTCCCTTTCCTTTCAACTGTGTGTTTTATCAAAGGCTTGGCCCATGCTGGGATTTCTTCAAGCAGGATATAACTGAACCACAACAAGGAGATTCATCCACAGCCAATCTTCCATTGTCTCCCACCTGGTTCAATTGTTTGTCTGGGTAAAGGCGATTGAACCAGGACATTTATCACATGGTTACACAAGGAGTACGTTCCTCATGAATGTTACTGTTCACCTTACAGATCTGTTGTTTGACTGCAAGGTGATTCCTGTGCGAAGTTAGTTCATTTTCTCATTTGAAGGGCATATAATGATCATAGTCTCAGGGATTCCTATAGTCTTTCTCAGACCAGATTTGGTCTTCTTCTTCTTTTTTTTTTAATGATTTTGTTTTTCTTCAACATTTCTCTCTGATTCGTTTGAGGCCCTTTTTTGGTCCCAGTTAAAATGGTCAGTAGTGGTAGCCAGCTCCATGTAGTTATGGTTTCAGGGAAGCTGAAGCTATAATTTGGATAGTTCCATTTAATCCTTTGGGCTAATAGGTTTATTTTTTCCTTTGGAGGGTCAGCTATGAGTTGGTTGGCAATCTAAATGTCTTCCTCTGTGAAAGGCATTTCCATATCTTTGGCCCATTTTATAATTGGGTTATTAGACTTTTTTTTTGTGGAGGTCCTGAAGAATCCTACAGTAGTAAAATTTTCAGTAGTGGAAATTTTACAGTAGTAGAAATTTTATAGTAAATTTTCGTTATGAGACCCTTGCCTGAGGTGTCATTGGCAAATATTTTTCCTCAGTCTGTTGGTTTTCTTTTTACCCTATTGGAAAAAGTTTTTGATGCATACAGTGACTTAATATTTAGAAGGTCACACTCACTGATGTTATCCTTTCCTGGTTGTGCATTACTAATAGTTTTCTTGAATCTTTAATTTTCTTCACTCTTCTTTTTTCGAGATGCTCAGCTTTTATGGGGAGAGATCAATAGCAACATTTTGGATGGCTACTCATTAGCTTTTAACTGATTTTCATTCTTAATTTTATTTTCCCTTTGCCCTCATTTCTTAAAAAAAATAAATAGCTGCTCTTATAAGCAACTACAATTTCTTTTTGAAATGACAAATATAGATAAAAACTCAAAAATAAAAAACATTATTACCTTTCCTCAAGAATATTTAAACAAGTTAAAAAAGATTTAAATCTAGCTTTGTTCTCAAAGTTTTTACTTTGCCCTTTATGATTTGTCCCCCACACGTGTAGCCCAGGAATGACATGAAGATTCATGCTTAGACTTAGAGGATCTCCTCCAGCTCTCTCTTTAGAGAAAGATTCCTTCCTCCCACTCTCCTGTGCACAGAGGTCCCTTTTCTATGTTCCTCTGGCAAGGAAGAAGGCCTTTCTTGAAGAGATAAAGCTCTTGTCCTGCCACTGAAATGCAACTCTGTAACTGAGATGAAAGAGGGGGAAAAAATTAACTGCCAACAGCCCCATTCCTATAAGAGTTGACATCTCCAAGTTATGGCTTTCTTCCAATCAAACTGCTTCTGTTTACTTTCAGAGTCCTTGAGTACTTTCAGTTTTAATTCTTTCCTGCATTTTTAGTTGTGGTCAGTGGGAGCGATAGACTCCAGGGATTATTTTAAAATTTAAAATAATTAAATATCATGGCGAGAAAAACTTCAAATACTAGTAATTTTAGATTTTTCTTCCTCCAGCACCAAACTTTGGTATATTTAGCTAGAGATCCAGAAAAAAAAGAGCATCCAGTAGCTTCCTGGATGTCTCCGGATTGCTCAGTTTCAAACAGAATGGCATTAAATTTCAGAGCTGTAACTCACTCAAGATAATCACTTAACATCATAATTTAATAAAAGATTAAATGAGGGCTAACAGAAGGGGAATAATTCGCCTTGTCACTCAGCAAGGTAACGATCAAGATTGGACCAGCACTCAGCTTAGTTTAACATAATTAATCAAGCACTAGGGAATACCTTGTAAGTATCCAGGAATGTGCTAGATATTGTGGGTGCTTCCAAACACACAAACTTCTTAGGAGTCAAGATGCAAATACAGGAGAGGCTAAAGAATGATATGGGATTGAATGTTTCAAAGGCCTGGGTGAGGAGCACTGCTTTCAAGTGATGACTTAGTTCTCTTCAGGTTTCCGTAGGCTGTGGTTGGAGTAGGCTGTACTGAAGGTAGATTTGAAGATGCATGGAGCAGATACATAGAGCATGAGGAAATGGGAAGCTTTATCTAGTGGTTGGGCAAGGGCCAAGTATTCAAATACTGGCTTAAAGGTTGGTAATTTGAATTTACACAGAGGTACACTGGAAGACAAACCAGGCAATCTGTCTTGGAAAGGTAACAGTCTTGAAAACCCTTTGGAGCAATTCTACTCCAATACACTTGGGAATGTCAGAGGTAGGAGCTGACTTGAGGGCAACTAATAACAACAGGAGGGACCTATCGCAAAACTGAATCCCAGTTTCTGAACATAGTATGCACTTTTAGTCATGTAATCTTTCTGAGCCCCATTTGTTCTTAAATGCAAGCAAAAAATAGTACCTACATGGATCTCTTTTTCTTTGAGTTCATATAAATAAAATTTATAAAGTCAATGCCTGGCTCACCAAGTATAGCTTTTTTATTATTATTTGTTATTATTATTATTTGAAATTTCAGGTATTTAGGCATTTATCATGTACTAGTCTTTAATGTGAATGAATACATTATAAAAATAATTATTTTATGTGTAAGCTATGGCTGACTCTGAGAAGAATGGGGATCCCAGAACATTTGGGTTTGCTTATGAGAAACCTATACTTGGACCAAGAAGCAGTCGTCAGAACAGAGCAAGGAGAAAATACATGGTTCAAAATCAGGAAGGAGGTCTACCAGGGACGTATTATGTCTCCATACCTTTTCAATCTGTATGCAGAATGGATCATCCAGGACACTGGGCTGTACAAGGAGGAATGTGGCATCAGGATTGGTGGAAGATTCATTAACAACCTGCATTATGTAGATGACAAAACCTTGCTTGCTGAAACTGAGGAGGACCTGAAGCGCTTGCTGCAGAGGGTCAAGGACTGCAGCCTTCAATATGGATTGGAGCTCAACATCAAGAAAACAAAGATTCTCACCACTGGGCCAATTGGCAGCATCAGTATGGATGGTGAAGAGATTGAGATAGTTAACAGTTTTAGTTTACTTGGCTCCACAGTCAACACTCTTGGTACCAGCAGCCAGGAAATGAAGAGATGAATTGCATAGGGAAAGTCAGCTGTCAGGGACCTCTCCTGAGTACTGAAGAGCAACGACATCAGGCTGGAGACTAAGGTGCACCTGATCTGGACTATAGTCTTCGTAATTGTGTGCTATGTGTCAGAGATCTGGACAGTGACCAGGGATGATAGAAAGAAAATTAATGCTTTTGAGCTGTGGTGCTGGAGAAGAGTGTTGAATATACCATGGGCTGGGAGAACAAACAGGTTTGTCCTGGAGAGGGTGAAGTCAGGCTGCTCTTTGGAGTCAAGGATTCTGAAGCTTTGTCTGACATACTTTGGGCATGTTGCAAGAAGGTATCAGTCCTTGGAGAGGGACATCATGTTTGGGAGAGTGGAAGGACAGAGCAGGAGAAGAAGACCCTCGATGAGATGAATCGATTCTATGATTGGAGTGGTGTGAGTAAGTGTGTCAGAGATGGTGAGGTTGGCACAGGATAGAGCAGGATTTAGGGCGCTTGTACATAGGGTCACTATGAGTCATAAGCAACTCGAGCTGAGTTTGCTGGTGCTCTTAGCTTTTTCACACGTGTGTTATCACCTTATCTACCCATCAGTCTTGGCAATAAAGGAATGAGCCCCAACTCTTAACTTGTACTCTTGACCCTCAGGCATCAGAATGAATTTTTATTGCTGTAGGATTTTTTCTTGTTCTAGTGTAGTTCTGTCTACTTCCTCTGAGGAAGATGTTATAGACCGTGGGGGCAAAAGAAAAAAAAATACAAGCTTACTATTCAGCACTGAAAACCAAGGAACTCATGAAATATTATACAAAATGAGAGATTATGAAGGACATTATGCTGAGTGAAATAGTCACTAAAGGAAAAATACTGCATAGTGCCACTGTTATAAAACAGGACTGACATGGGGGTTGGGAAAACTAAGAAAAGAGGGGATAAGTAATGTATGCTGCTTAAAACAGATAAGGGGGAAACTGTTTAAAAGAAATATATGATTAGGTATTATTTGCATGACAACAGTCCAGAATAAGAGCTCCATAGTAAAGTGTTCCTGGGATGTGTGTGGAAATTGTACAACAATGAAAGTATTTTTTTTCCAAAGAGAAAAGTGAACTTGGGTGGACAGGGAGGAAAATGTGCAACAATAGATGAATGGAAATCCACGTTCTCTACAAACTTTCATTAAAATCTCAGTTAAAAAATGCAAGCTGATATTTGGGAGAGAAGAAGTCCCCTCCTGTAAGCTTTAAATCCCTAAACACTCTTATCCAGTTGGCCATACCAGGTTCTGGTTGCAGAGAATTTATTACAAAATAAAGAAAAGAAGTCTGAGGACGTTTCACTCATCATAGAATTTTGGCAGCTCATTGCCCAAGATCACTCGATGGTCCACACCAGCAGCTGTGATAGTGACCAGGTAGATTACGCCTCCACTGGAGCCGTCCCGGCTCATGGCCAGAGCGATAGCTGCAGAGAGTTTCAAGTTGGAGAGAAGGAGAAAGAATGGTTTAGCTTCAAAATATTTTCCTTCCTCTCCTGTCCCTATCTTATGCTCTACCATTTTCAGATCTCGAAGCCTATTTTCCAGAGGTGCATGTTTTAGTCTTAGGCTGGCAAACTAACTGTAAAAGGACGTATTGATTTGTAGCATCTTCCAATATCCATGGTGTAAATGCTCACATCATATTTGAATTCAAGTTACTAATATTTTAATAAGCAGCTCAAAAATCCCTTAGTATTTAACATTTGTATCCCATAAGCTGGTCCAAGGTAGTTCTAGCATAGTCAGGACAGTTCTAATTTATGCCTGTTTCCCTGAAATATCATTTAGTTTAACATTTGTCCTGATAAATTTGTTAAGGGCATATGCACCAGTTAGGATCTTAAATGAAATTATGCATGTATTTCTCTTCCTGATTCTCATAATTAATTTCCTTCTTGTGTTAAAAACCCACCCAGTTTCCTTTCCAATTGCCAAATTACCATTTGTGGTGAAGCGCCTGCATTCCTCAGGGGTCATGCCTGGTTTGTATGCTGCGTCCACATAACCGTAGATATAGGTGCTGCCAGAGCCACCAATGGTAAAGGGCTGTCGAGTCAGCATTCCTCCTAAGGTTCCATATACCTGGGGGATGGACATTCTCAATTCAGACTAAAGATACATCCACTCTCTTCTTCCTGAGGCAAGCAAGTGACCCCCCACTCTGCAATGAAGTCCGTCATACCCCAACAATTGAGGTTCTGCATTATCTTTTTAGGGACAATATCATGGATTGGTACTCATTGCTAATATGCCATATGACACCATCTCTGCTGTAAGGAAGCAGGGAACCCGAGAGTGGAAATGATTTGGGAGGGACTCACTTGGCCCCCTTCAAGTTGGTCCCAGCCAGCTACCATGAGGTGTGCAGACAGGTCCTCACGATACTTATAGGTGATATTCTTCACCACGTTTGCAGCAGCCAGAACACGAGGAAGTTCCCCCAGTTCCATCCTGAAGGAATTGTTAGGGATGTTGTTATTACGTACTGCTAAGTCAGAACTGATTCAGGGCTGATCCTCAAGTGGATTTTCAGAGGTGGTAAATTGAGTGGGAGGAGACTGACCATCTTTCTCATCCAGCAGCTGGTGGATTCAAACTGCATGACTTTAGGTTGGCAACAGAGCCCCATTGTTAGTAACAGGAGTTATAAAATATTCTCAAATCTGACCATCCTTGCCAAGTGACACCAAAGTCTGTAGCTCAGTAGTCTAAAGTCCAGCTTAAGTTTCTTGTCACTAGTCAGTAAAAACTTTCATTTGTCACTCCTAACCTCTAATCACTTTCACCCTCTAATCACAGAACTCTCCTTGTCTGCAAGGAACCTATGCTTGTGGTTAAAAAAACCAGATAAGTTTTGCATCCACCCAATAACTTTGATTTCTTACACAGTAACTTAGCCTGGGTGGTTCAAACAGTTAAGCTCCTTGACTATTAGCTGAGACTACTGGAAGTTGAAGCCCATCCAGAAGTTAGACCTGACTTTTTGCTTCACTTGAAAACCTTGTGATGTATAGTTCTACTCTGATCCACATGATGAAATAATATTTGGGGATTCATTCAAAGGCAAATAATAACAACAACAACTTTGCCTGCGTGGTGCTGTGATGCTGGAGAAGAGTATTGAGGGTACCATGGACTGCTAGGAAAACAAACAGATTCATCCTAGAAAAGGTTAAACTTGGCAGCTCCTTGGAGGTAAGGATTCTGAGGCTCTGTCTGACATATTTTGGACATTTTGTAAGGAGAGACCGGTCGTTGGAGAGGGACATCATGCTTGGGAGGGTGGAGGGACAGCGCAGGAGGGGAAGGCCCTCTATGAGGTGGATTGATTCAGTGAGTGGGGTGGGTGTATCGGAGACAGTGCGATTGGCACAGGACAGAGCAGAGTTTAGGGCTGTTGTACATAGGGGTCATTATGAGTTGCAAGTGACTCGATGGCACATAACAACAACAACAACAACAACAACTAACCAAGAGATTGGAATTATAGCCCACCTAGAGATTACCTTAAAAGAAAATTGAGGTGATCTACCCTTGAAAGATCAGCCATTGAAACCCCTATGAGCAGAGTTCTCTGCTCTCATACATATGGGGTTGCCATGAAGTGACTCCACAATTAGGAAGAACTTTGCTTGACATAATGATGGAGACACATCATCATTTTTTTTTCTCAGTATTAATATTAGTGTAGTAATTTACAATTTCAAACGGCTTTCACCCATGATGGGTTTCTTAAAAAACTGTTGAGTACAACCCATAGCAACACTGTGAACAACAGATCTAAATCCTCTCCTATCCTGTACCACCCTCATGTTGCCTTCGCTGATCCTCTGTCTTACTGAGCATCATGTTCCTCTCCAAGGAATAGCCTTTGCTAGCAACTTGTCCAAAGTATATAAGGTAAAGCTTTATCATCTTTGCCTCCAAAGAGCACTCTGGCTGCCCTTTCTTCATGGCATATTTGTTTGTTCTTTTGACAGTACATGGAATATTCAATGCTCCTCTCCAACACCACAATTCAAAGGCATCAGTTCTTCTTCTGTCATCCTTATTCATTCATTGTCCAGCTTTCAGAACCATAACAAGTGATTGGAAAGACCATGACCTGAATAAGATGTACCTTAGTCCTCATGCTGACATCATTACTCCTCAATAATTTGGAGAGATACCTAACTGCACACTTTTCAAGTACAATACATCTCCTGATTTCCTGACTATCAGCACTTGTCTGTCAGTTTTCTGTAATGAGATAACTTGTGGGTTGCTGTGATACTGAAAGCCATGCCACTGGTGTGTCAAATGCCACAAGGGTTACCCAGGGTGGACAAGTTTTAGTAATGCTCCCAGATTAAGACAGAGTAGGAAGGAGAGTTGGCCATCCACTTCTTAAATAACAGGCCTCCAAAAACTCTGAACAGTAAAGGAATGGGCATAGTGACAGTAATAGTGGTAGAACCCAGATGGGAATCAGCCAATATAAGGAAGAATAATGGCAAACATCTTTCAATAATTGGAACATGGAATTGTATGTATCTGAAATGTTGGAAAACTAGAAATTGTGAAAAATTAAATGGAATGCATGAACATTCACATACTAGGCATTAATGAGATGAGACAGACTAGCTCTGGCCACTTTGAATCAGATAATCACATGGTCTACTGTGATAGGAATAAAAATAAGAAGAATGATGTTGCATTCATAGTAAAAAAGTTAATCCCAAATTCTATCTTGAATTCTTAAAAATAGTTTCTTTGCTATAATTACTCAAGCACCTGAGAATACCCTCCTAAGTGCCAAGGAATATACTGTGCATTATGAGAATCTACACACACACATCCCATGAACTGACAAAATAACAAAGAAATAGATCTTGGAGAAAGTGCAACCAGGGTGCTTCTTGGTGGTAATTATCATGAAGCTTTGTTTCACATACTTTGGACGTGTTGTTGTGAGGGGCTGGTCCTTGGAAAAGAGCATTATGCTGACAAAGGTCAGTGAAAGAAAGGAATACCCTCAGTGAGACAGATTAACAGTGTGACTGGAACAATGGGTCCAGCATATCAGAGATGAAGATGGCACGGGATAGGGCAAGGTTCAGATCCATTTTTTCATAGGATCATATGAGTCACAGTTAACTCAATAGTACCTAACAACAGCACACACACAATCTGTCTTCAAGTAAAGACTCATAAATACAAAAGGGTAACGAGTGGTATGGATCTGGGTGTTTCGAGGGTCTGGGCGTGGGGCACGTCCCCTCCTCCATGCTCTTCAGAGGGTACCTGTGTCCTGTGGGTGAAGCTTCACACTAGAACTCTAGCCTGTATGGGCCAGATCTGCCTGGAGACAGGTGCTAAGAGAGCCCAAACCTGAAAGGTAAGTAAGGTAGGTACTTTTATCCTCTCATTTTAGATACAGAAAATATCTTAGAAAGTTAATAAAAGCTGGAACCAAAACAAAATTCTTCACTTTTCAATACAGCACCTTAAGGAGGTCTAATAGCTTAGTCAGTAAGGAGTTGTACTATCAAGCCAAAAACAGGTGGTTTGAATCCACTAACTGCTCCCCAGGAGAAAGGAGGTAATTCTCCTATCATGTGATGTACAGCCTCTGAAAACCCACCTGAGGGTCAGCTATGAGATGGTTCCAATGTGATGGCAATGAGTTGACTTGAGTTAACGCAGTAGTTCTTTAATGGGTAGTCTCCTCCCATGCAATTCACTGCCTCTGAAAATATGCTGGAGGGTCAGCTACTGGTTGCTTCTCACTCAACAGTACACAATAACATAGGTTTCATTGGGATGGGGCAGAGGAAGCTCTATGGGGTGTGGAGTCAGGACCCCAGTGCCAGTGGGGATGCATACCCATGGAGCTCCAGCTGGTAGGTGGCCATGTCTGCGACAGCCTGGGCATCAGCAGCTGAACCAGAGAGTGCACAGTAGATGTGACGGTGGAGGGGCATCAACTTGTCAAAAACTCGGTTCACCACTGCTTGTCTGCAAGGAGTAAACAGTCACCAAGGTTAGAGCTGGCAGAAATCTTGAGGTTAATTAGCCAGTGTTTGTCAAGTTATTTAAAGGAGAGAAGCCAAAAAGTGCATGACATTTAACTGCTTGGGATAAAGCAGAAAGAAAAAAAGCAATGATTTCATAGATAAACAAATTCCCATAAGTATTGATCAAAATTGGATTTGTTTTCAGGATGAATTTTAGAACAAGACAAAAATAGTTAAGAAAAATATTCCTCTTATAAATTTTTTCTATTGACTATCCTGAGTCCATTTACTGAATTTCCCCCTCTATTTAAAAAATTTTTATACTGATTTTTTTATTTACAAATTTCAAATACATTTTTTCCCCCACACAAGATCCTCCCCATTTCCTTCACCTCCCTTACCCATCGAATTGTGCAAGAGGGGTGAGAAGAGGGGAGCAGTGTATGTTAATCATAGAGTCCATTTACTGTTATGGGCACTATCACGTAGGTAATACTGACTGAATCCCATGTACTTGCTTTGCATGTGAAGAAACTGTTGACCAGGTGAGAAGAAGAGACAAGATTAACTCAACACATGATAAATAGGAAACCAGAATATCAGGCTGGCAGAACTATCTGTTCTATCCCCCAAATACAGTTGGAAGGAGGGTCTCTCCTGTCCTTCACCATAAAATCGCTTCTATTAATCGCTGTTGATGGCTGGGGCATGCCATATAAGCACTCAGACCCCACACAATCAAGAAAATCAAGCACCCACCCAATATTTTATTAAGGCATCTTTCTAAAAGGTCAACTCCAGTTCTCTCAAAGTTCTAGTATATCAATTTTTTTTTTCATGAAGGGGTAAGACAAATTAAAAAAAGAAAGTCAATAGTATTTGAGAGTTTTGAGCTTCCTTCCAAATCCACACACCTTTGCCAGTACTCACCCTGCAGACACCCGGGAATCAGAACCCATCACGATGCCCCCATCAAACTCTACTGCCATGATGGTTGTCTACAGAGACACAAAGAATAGAAAGTCAGCAGATGGAGCCTCGATCCCCACAAGGGATGGAGAAACATTCCCAGAGAAGGGAATTGACTGGTTTAAAGTCATAAGGTAATTCAAGCCAAAGCTGATTCCCAGTACAGGTTCCCCCCCCCCACTCCATTTTTACTTTTAACATTATCTCACCTGGTTGCAGGGGAATATCATAACCTAATCATTGTGCAACAACACAGAAAGAGTCACATCCACAACGCTCAACTTCCCTAAGCAGAATCCTTCTATTCTAAACAGAGGTATAACTGTTAGAGGTGAAAGTGCTCTCTTTGAGGAAAAGGCTCATTAGTCACACAATTATTTTTACCACATATACTTGTTTAGTTCTAGCATGTGTGGAAGTGGTACAAAATGAACACAGAGCAAGGCAATATGAATCTGAGAAGCAAGTAAAATTTTTTTAGGGGGTAGGAGTAAACCCTTTCCCTCCAGTCCCACTTAGGAGCCAGTACTTCCAATTTACTGAACAATGGAAAACTATGGACAACCATTCATTAGCAGATCCAAGCTGAAAAAGAGGAGCAGCAAAATACATGTGCTGGAATTAAAAAAAAAATTTTAAAGTGTTTTGTTGTGGTGGTGTTGTGTTGTCTTTTTCTTAAAGAAGTTTTAAAGGAATTTCTGATTAGTCTATAAAACTTCCATTGCCACTGACTCTAAACTGACTCATAGCTGACTCTCCAGTGGGTTTTGAGGCAGTATATAAATAGCACAGGAGCTGCTGGTGAATGCGAACTGGCAGAGGGTCTTGTCCTTTGGATTAGCTGCAAAATTCCCCTCAGACTAAGCCATGAGAGCTCCCTTTCTGACCAGTCTTCAGAGGAAGAGAAGGAAACTCACCAAGAACAGCTATAACTGGGTACTTTGAGTTGAAATTTCTAGGTTAAGAAAAGAATGAAGGAAAAATAAAGAAGGATAAAGGTACCTTTGCTCTACACCTGTGGAATTAGAAGGAGCTTTATGTATCATTTGGTTCAAATGAGGAAACTGAGTCATAGAGAAAGCAAGGGACTTATTTATTCAAGAGTAATCTGCTACTTTGTTCACCCCAATTATTGGGCCTCTCCAAGATACTGATCTTTACCATGAATAGAGGTGCCAGAGTAACATTCTAGATGTTACTTGCTTTCAAACCAAAAGTGTGGCAATACATTGGGCTTAGATGTTATCCAGCCTTGTGACTGCACTTTTCGGAGTCAACCAGCCTGGGCAAAGTCTCGCAGACGACATGTGTTGTTAGGTATAGTCAATTTGGAACCGACTTGACCCTCCAAAGGATTTTCAGAGGCAGCAAATCACATGGGACGAAATTTCCCATTCTCCAGTGGAGCAGCTGGTGGATTCGCACCATATACCTCTGGGGTGCTTCTGGGTTGGTAGTACAACACCTTACCACTAAGCCACCAGAATTTACTTCCCAGAGGTCATGTAGGCATGGGCAAAGACAACACAAGGAACTTGGCAGTACCTGGGCCAAGCAAGAAACTTAATGGTGACAGGCTCCTCAAAGGGACCGTTGGAAAGGAAGCTCGTTTTAGTTAGAGACCCGTTATCAAAGGTCTGTGTGTTGAGTTGGACCTTCTTATTAGTGCTCATATCTTCTTATCCCAAATATTGCCCTACTTTGTTCGGGTCACCATTTCCTCCTCCCTTGACTTACCAGCCATCTATGTATACAAAGTGAAAGCAAAAGCACTTTACAGCCGCTTCCCCTTCACAGTTCCAGCAAATAGCCAAAGAACTCCCCTCTTTCAAAGAGCCCCGTCCTTTTTGTGCACCCCAACTCTACCCAAATAACTTCCTTCCGTTATGCTATGTTCATTGAGGTGTGCAAGCATCGCTGCCTACAAGCTACATCTCCACATTTCTTTTGATCTTGTCATTTGCTTCTTGTAGCTTTCAGGGTCCCTCTGCTGATCCACCCCCTCTGTCCCTCTGCTGGTTTTCAAGCTCAGCCACATTACCCCGGTATGGACTTCTCCGGCCCTGGCGAGGTCCCCGGCTGTTGCTCCGACGCGCAGCATCCCGGGCTGGTGTCAAGCTCTGCGCTGCCTCGGGCTCTGATTTCTAACCTGGGACAGCGCGCAGCGCCCAGACTGCAGCCCCGCCCCTTCCCCATGCCCGCCAGGGGGCGCCCAAGTCTTCTAGGTAGACTTCGCGCCGGGACGCTAACCTGTCTGCCGCAGATCTGCCCGGCAACAGGTGACGAAAGAGCCCAGTCCTGGAGCGGTAGGTGGAAAAGTCCCAGCAAAGATACCTCGTTGCAAAAAAAATTAGGGGGACCAGTATGCGTGAAGATAGGGCGCCAGAGCTGCTCCCCGGAGCCTCCTAATTGATGTAAACGCTTAGACCCCCCCAATACTCGGGGCTGGGCTGGCTACGTTTGGAAGGGGACCGACCGAGCGCGGTGGCGGCTGCTTTCGATTTCACTTTCCCCTAAAAGGTGGCTCTTATGGTCAGCGCGCTGTTGGGGCGCAGCCAGCTCGGGGCTTTCCTGCAGCTCCGCCCCGGCCGCGCCCACTCCCTGTGCCACTCCGCGGTCCTGGCGCGAGCGAGCTCGGCCACAGACGCCGACCAGAAGCAGAATTCAGTGTCGCGGGGACACCGGGGTGCCCGGGTCAGTACGAGACCAGCGACAGAGCCTGCTCTCCAATGGCCAGCTCTCCAGTGGCCAGCGCAGGGTCCCCGGCTCCCTGTAGGTGCCTCAGGGGACTTGCGGGGACTTGCGGCGCGTGGCTGGGGGCGACGCTGCTGCTTCTCGCGGACTGGCTATGGCTGCAGTGCGCGCTGCCCAGCCTAGCCTTCCTCCAGGTGCCCACTTCGCTGCCACTGCTCCGGGTGTGGATGTTGGGACTCGGCCGCTGGACCGTGCTGTGGCTGGTGGCGCGTGGGGTCCTCAGGGTCTTCAAGAGCGAAAGTGCACGAGGCCGGAGTTGGCTGGCTACTTTGGAGCCCCTGGCGGCCGCGCTGGGTTTGGCTCTGCCAGGACTTGCCTTGTTTCGGAAGCTGAGCTCCTGGGGCGACCCCAGGGACATTGAAAGCACTAGACTACTGTATTGGGCAAGTCGTCCTGACGCCTTCGTCCTCAGCTACATAGTGGCCCTGCCCGCAGCCTTCCTGTGGCACAAAGTCGAGGGCCTGTGGGTGCCCAGCGACCAGGGGAGCTCTGGCAACGCAATCAGACAACTGCTACGCTGCATCGGCCCGGCGCTATACCGCTCCCCCCTTGTTCTACTCTTCTTGATCTTCTCCTGTATTGGTAAGGGCAGAGATCAGGGTGTTGGGACACAAGGGGCCCGGATAAAGAAATCAAGAATAAATGGTTAGTGAGGAGGTAGGATGGTGTCAGTTCTAGAAAATGTGCATGAGGCAGAAGAAGACCCGGTTCAGAGGTTGGGAAGACGACTCAGGGTGTGGAAAAAGGAAGAGCACTAGGCCAGGTGGGAGGGAGGATCAGGGCTCCAGTCTTGTCCCAGGCGTTACTTCACTGGGTGACTGCGGGCAAGTCTTTTCCTCTGGAGACACAGCATATTCACTTTTAGGAAGAGGTTAGTTTCCTCTTTGGTCCTGAGGGTTCCCTGTGTGTTGGGTTGTGAGTTCCAGGGCAGCTTATTCAGGTGTGGAGTTCTCAGGGTCTTCTTTCTGTGCCTTTGCTCCTGTGAGGGTCAAAGAGGATGTGGTTGGAGCCAGCCTAGTTGGAGTTGACCTGCTAAGACTTAATATTTGTGACTGACCAAGTCCTTCTCTCTCTCTCCAGGCGAGATGGCCATTCCATTCATTACCGGCCGCCTTGCTGACTGGATTCTGCAAGATGGCGAAGCCACAGCCTCAGCCTTCACCCAAAACATAACTTTCATGTCTGTTCTCACCATAGCCAGGTCTGCGGGATGGGGGTGGAAGTTTGGTAAACACCTTGTTCATGGAATCACTTGTGAGTCTTAGTTAATGCCAAGATACACCTAACAAGGAGAGAAATAAGGAATTAGAAGTTGAAGCGGCTCCAGTGTCCACTTCTGCAGCAATACCTGAGACCTCTCCCTCTTCTCCCCACAACACTCACCTTTATCTTTTTTTCTCTCTGTAGTGCAGTTCTGGAGTTCGTGGGTGACGGGATCTATAACAGTACCATGGGCCACATGCACAGCCGCCTGCAGGGAGACGTGTTTCAGGCTGTCCTTCGCCAAGAGACAGAGTTTTTCCAACAGAACAAAACAGGTTTCTTACAAAACTCTTTCGTCACAGATCCACATATGACAACCATACCCTTATTAACCCATATCTAGTTTTAATTTGACACTTCCCTTCCTTTTTCCATATGTGTGTGTGGTGTGTGTGTGTGTGTGTGTGTGTGTGTGTGTGTATCTGTTATTTTCATTCTTAGTATGTCTCTAGTCTGAACAAAATTTATTCTTTTCTCCCTTTCGTAAAACCTAGCATTCCCATTCAGGATTCCCCACATAAATCTATCCTTAAGTAAAAACTAGAATTATAAACCTGATAGTTTTTAGATCATAGAGACTCAGTGCCTAAAATTCCAGAGAAGGAAACTGAAGCCTAGACCCAAAATGTTGATAATTGTTTGGGCCACTGAGGGGTTGAGAGAACTTGGGGTAAGAACCTTTGTCTCCTGATTCCCAGGGCAGTGCTGGTCACAGGCATCATTTTCCCCACCCCCTTTCCTCTCCATTTTACAATCATCTTAAATTCTGCTGCCTGTGGGACTTCACAACTCATAACAAAAACAACAGCAACAATACATAGGATACATGTGTTCTTTAAGGAATGGAAAACTTTCAGAGAAACAAATTCATCTGTTTTTTAAATTCCTCATAGTTAAAATGAAAGTCAGTAGACAAGCTTCTCAGCTCTAATACTCATTTCTCTATGCATTGAGATTCCCTTATGTCCTCATACTCCACACCCCTACTTCTGACACCCTGGATTTTTTTCCTTATCCCATCTTACCACTCTGAACCTATCTTATTTGTCCCACATTCTCCTCCCCACCTTTGGCAGGTGCCATCACATCCCGAGTCACGGAGGACACAACCACCTTGAGTGAGTCGCTGAGTAAGGAACTGAACCTGTTGATGTGGTACCTGGTACGAGGGTTGTGCCTCTTGGGGCTCATGCTCTGGGGCTCAGTGTCCCTCACCATGGTCACCTTGGTTGCCCTGCCTCTGCTTTCCGTTCTGCCTAAGGAGCTGGGAAAATGGTACAAGGTATGTTCAAGAAGTTGGCCAACCTATTACACATGGAAATTTTGTCTCTCAGACCTGGATAACTCAGTTTCTTTAAAACTTTTTTAGTACAACTTTGCCTGATACCTTCTGTCTTCATTACATTCCTTGTCTTTATAATCTGTCATGAGATTGCTCTTCATTGACCTTGATAGTCCCTGTATTTTTCCCTTTGAACTTGTGTCCACATTGTAACCCCTAATACTTCTGAGTCATTACTTCTACCCTGTATCTAACTAGTTTCGAGGTGGTATGTCTATGTCCTATTTTCTCATTTGTCTATCTGCCTGTTCTGACTTATAGGTCCTTTTAGATAACTCAGATACTTTGATCTGCTATGGCTTTCTATCCCTGTGTGACATCTCCTTTCAATGTACCCACAGTTGCTGGCAGTACGTGTGCAGAATTATCTGGCAGAATCTAGCCAGGTGGCCATTGAGGCTCTGTCAGCTATGCCTACAGTCCGGAGCTTTGCCAACGAAGAAGGTGAGAACCGGAGGTTTAAACAAAAGCTGCAGGAAATAAAGACAGTCAGCCAGCAAGAGGCACTGGCCTATGCAGTCAACGCGTGGACCACCAATGTGAGCACCTGGACATGCATGCCCATTCCTTCTCCCTGAGATGACTAATTCCATTCTTTTTCCCATGACCTTGCTGCTAACTTCTCTTTCACTGGGAAATGGTTGTGTCAATGTTCTCATTCCAGCAACCTGAGATGCAGTTACCCTACTCAATGTCTTTAACCCTTTCCTCCTTTTTAAGATATGCTACCCAGCCTCCCTTTGAGAGAGTTGTGTCTTCTAGTTCTTGAGTCTTTCTTTGCCTCTCGGGGAGGCTCAATGTGCCATAAATCCCTCCACGTGGGCCTGTTTCATGCTGGAACAGTGTGGCCATGTTAGTGAAAGCCAGGATAATTAGAAGCTAATAATGAGGACCTGAAATGTAGGGAGAAAAGAGCGAGACCAGCAGTCAAGAGCTCCCGTCTTGCTGTTGCCACTTACCAGCTCTAGGAGAATCGACAAGTAACTTATCTTCTCTAAGTTTGTTTCCTTACTTTAAAAAATTAGAGTAATGACTCTATCGCTTTATATCAACGTCTTGATATGAATATTTAATGACATAACATTCATGCAAGACTTTTGTGAAGAGTAAAATGCTCCCTGAACATAGGTGATGACTTCTATGAAGAGTATTTTAACCTGTCTCTATGGGATCTCTGTCTCATTTTTCCCTTCAACCTATTAAGCTGGCTGCTACTCCGTGGAAAAAGGGATTATATTTCCTTATTCCTAAGAACTCTGGCTTTTTATGCCCTTTCTTATATCTTGCTCCTGCAGCCCTCTTTCTCTCTGATCTCTCCACAGATATCAGGGATGTTGCTGAAAGTGGCAATCCTGTACATGGGTGGGCGGCTGGTGACAAGCAGTACTTTGAGCAGTGGGACCCTAGTTGCATTTGTTCTCTACCAGATCCAGTTCACCACAGCTGTTGAGGTGAGGTTTGTTCCTCCAGTTTCACTCTCCAACTCTTTCTCTTCCCTATCCCATTACTATTCGTCCCATTATAGTTTATACCCCTTTCCTTCCATTTTTGATCCTTCTTATCACATAATATTAAAAGCAGATTAAATCACGCCACAAAGGAGTACAGAGTCACTGTATCAGAAGGCATTGGCTGACACAGGAGAATTTCATGAAATAACATATGAGCAAGAGCATATGGTGATGAAGGAGGAAGTTCAAATTGCTCTGAAGGAATTGGCAAAAAACAAGCCTCCAGGAGTTGATGGCATACCAATTGACATGTTTCAACAAACAGACACTGCCCTAGATGTGCTCACTGAGTTGTGCCAAGAAATCTGGAGGACAGCCAGCTGGCCGACTGACTGGAAGAGATCAGTATTTGTTCCCATTCCAAAGAAAGGTAACCCAACAGAGTGCAGAAATTATTGAACAATATCATTAATATCACATGCAAGCAAGATTTCTGCTGAAAATGGTTAAAAAACGTTTGGAACAATATGTCAACAGAGAACTGCTAGATGTATAGGCTGGATTTAGAAGAGGTTGTGCTACTAGGGATATTACAGCTAATATTAGATGCATCTTGGCAGAAAGCAGAGAATACCAGAAGAATGTCTATCTGTGCTTCATTGACTATGCAAAGGCTTTTGACTGTGTGGATCATTACAAGCTGTGGCTGACTCTTAGAAGAATGGGAATCCCAGAACATTTGATTGTGCTAATGCGAAACCTATACTTGGACCAAGAGGCAGTCATCAGATCAGAGCAAGGAGACACTACATGGCTCAAAATCAAGAAGGGGGTCCGTCAGGGATGTATTCTGTCTCCATACCTTTTCAATCTGTATGCAGAACAGATCATCTGAGATGCTGAGCTGTACAAGGAGGAATGTTACATTAGGATTGGTGGAAGAGTTATCAACAACCTGCGTTATGGAGATGACACAACCCTGCTCGCTGAAACTGAGGAGGACCTGAAGCGCTTGCTACAGAAAGTCACAGACTGCAGCCTTCAATATGGATTGAAGCTCAACATCAAGAAAACAAAGATTCTTACCACTGGGCCAATTGGGAGCATCAGTATAGATGGTGAAGAGATTGAGATAGTTAAGTTTTATTTACTTGGCTCCACAGTCAACACTCTTGGTAATAGCAGCCAGGAAGTCAGGAGACGAATTACATCAGGGAAAGTCAGCTGTGAGGGATCTCTCAAGAGTACTGAAGAGCAATGATGTCAGGCTGGAGACTAAGGTGTGCCTGATCCAGGCTACAGTCTTCACAATTGTGTGCTATGCATCAGAGAGTTGTACAGTGAATAGGGACGATAGAAAGAGAGTTGATGCCTTTAAGCTGTGGTGCTAGAGAAGAGTATTAACTATACCATGAACTTCTAGGAGAACAAACAGGTTTGTCCTGGAGAAGGTGAAGCCAGCATGCTCCTTGGAGTCAAGGATTCTGAAGCTTCGTCTGACATACTTTGGGCATGTTGCAAGGAGGGGCTGGTCCTTGGAAGGGGGACATCATGTTTGGCAGACTGGAGGGGCGGCGAAGGAGAGGAAGACCTTTGATGAGATGGATTGATTCTGTGACTGGAGTGGTAGGAATGAGCACGTTTGAGATGGCTAGGTTGGCACAGAATAAAACGGTGTTTAGGGCTCTTGTACATAGGGTCGCTATGAGTCGCAAGTGACTCAATGGCACATAACAACAACCACCACCACCTCTTTGTTGGTGTTTATGTTTACCCTCCAGGTTCTGCTCTCTCACTACCCCACTGTACAGAAGGCTGTGGGCTCCTCAGAGAAAATATTTGAATACCTAGACCGGATCCCTTGCTGCCCAGCCAGTGGCCATTTGTCTTCCTTAAACTTGGAAGGTCATGTCCAGTTTCAAGATGTACACTTTGCCTACCCAACTCAGCCAGATATTCCAGTGTTAAAGGTACAAATTACCCACACCTATATCCCACCGTCTCCACTCTAGTGTCAACTCCTTGCAATTTTTTTTGTCTGCGCTTAGCTTATTCAATACCAAGTGCAGAGGCTTTTTAACTCTTTGAAGGCAAATATGCACCATCTTCTCCACAAAGCTAACCCAAATTCAAGAGCAAGGTTGGACTTCCAAGGAGAGTAGAAGAAGAGACTCTCAAGGGGAAGGCTCTTACATTCTGGGAATTACTGCAGGAAAATATCTTTCTCTGTTCATCCATCTTTCCTTTTATTTTTCATGCTGGAATGTGATCCCTCCCCACCCCCACCGGTCCTCTGGTGGTATCTGACACAGTGGTGCTTAGTCCTAGCTAATATTCCATCACCATGCTGGGAAGAGTCAAGGGTTAATGAAAGAGAGGTAGACCCTTAACAAGATGGATTGACATAGTGACTGCAACAGTGGACTTGAGCATGGAAGAGATGGAGATGATAGTGCAGAGTAGGGCAGGGTTTCAAATTAGTGTTCATAGGGTCACTATGAGTCATAATTTGGTTGGACAGCACCTAAGAACAACAATTATCTCTATTCTTTAGAGTGTCATATTTTTCCATTTCCCCCCTTTCTTCTCTTAGGTAAGTTATTGTGTTATGTAACATGACATAGGCAGTCCCAAGATTAGGGGCTTCAGTCTGTCTCTCACTGTGTGACTTTCTGGTGGTCTTCAGGGGCTGACATTCACCCTTCGTCCTGGCGAGGTGACTGCACTCGTGGGGCCCAATGGCTCTGGGAAAAGCACAGTGGCTGCTCTGCTGCAGAACCTGTACCAGCCCGCAAAGGGTCACCTGCTGCTGGGGGGCGAGCCCCTTTCCCAATATGAGCACCGCTACCTGCACAGACAGGTGAGGAAAAAGATGGCTTAGGAGGAGTATCAAGGAAGAAGATAATTTTCACCGAGCATTCTGAAAGGCAGGTTAAGGAAGGGTGGGAGATCTTGGGTAGTGAGTGATAAGGGATATCAGCAGGGTGAAGGAGTGTGATTTTGTAATATGCTTTCAATAAAGATTTTGAGTCTTCAACACTCTGTCTTCCTGCAGCCCTTGTTATGAATATTGACCATATTTCATGCTAGGTGGTTGCAGTGGGACAAGAGCCACAGCTATTTGGAAGAAGCATCCGAGAAAATATTGCCTATGGCCTGACTCAGGAGCCAAATATGGAGGAAATCATAGCTGCCGCAAATGAGTCTGGAGCTCATAGTTTCATCTCTGAGCTTTCTCAGGGCTATGACACAGGTACTCTCTCCTTATCTCTTAATTGAAACACTGTAGTTGTTGCTGTTAAGTACCGTCAAGTAGAGTACGGCCCATAGCGAAACTACAAACAATAGATCTGAACCCTGTCCTATCCTGTGCCTTCCTCTCATTTCCTGGCACACTAGAGCCCATTGCAGCAGTCATTGTGTCAGTCCACCTGGTTGAGGGTCTTCCTCTCCTTCACTGATCCTCCACCTTTCCAAGAATGATGTCCTCCAGGCAATATCCTCTCCAAGCAACACGCCTGAAGTATGTAAAAGGAATAAGTACCATGACCTTTACTGAAACACCAACAATCTTGCTTTCATTTTTTTGTTCCTCCTACTCCAGTGACATCAACTTAGAATTACTAAAAGCTCTTTTTTCTATGGCCCCTTCATGTTTATAACATCATTCACCTTTCCCAAACCTTCTTTGTTAGTGGGGGATGAGTGTGCTTGTGTGTGTATTCAAGCATGACCTTGGCTCTTGTCTCTACAGAGGTAGGTGAGTCTGGGGGTCAATTATCAGGGGGTCAGCGACAGGCCATAGCCTTGGCCCGAGCACTGATCCGGAATCCACATGTACTTATCCTGGATGATGCCACCAGTGCCCTGGATGCAGAAAATCAGTCACGAGTGAGTCATCTTAATGCCCGTTTCCCACCATATCTTTTTTTAAATATTTTATGATTTTTTGTGTGTGTATGGTCAAATCGGATCTGACTGGCACAGGAGGAGATTGCCCCTCCTTCTCCAGCAGAGCACCTGGTGGATTCAAACCACGTACCTCTGGGATTAGAGTTCAGCTTCTTGCCACCGGGCCACCAGAGCTCCTTAATATCTTTCTTCTTTTATTCATCCTATGTTAGTCATTTTAACATCATAATTATCCAAACCTGTCCTTGCAATTTTATTAGTCCCCTTAGCTTCTCCAGATCACCCAGTTCCTATTAGCCTTTGCTCAGACCACCTACAAACAATTAAAAGAGACTGTGTAATAGTGCTGAATCTTTGAAGTCAAGCATAATGGAAGAGTATCCTAATAATATGAACCAAAATTAACTGAGCTTTTTATAGGTGTCGTATAAGACACCAGACCCTTTACATGTACAGGCTCACTTGTGTAGTCATCACAAACTGCTGTGATCTGAGTATTGTAATCTGTGTTATGCAGAGGACAAAATAGAGGCTGAGAAAGGTTGACTACCTTGCTCAATGTCATACAGCAGCTGTGCGGCGGGATGAAGTCAGGTCTGCTTGATTTAAGTGCTCATGCTTTTAACCATTAAGTCATATAACCTTAAAATAGAATATAAAAATTTATGGCTAGAATATAAAAGTTCATGGCCAGTAGAGAAACTACTCATCACCTTCACCCTTCCTTCTTTTTTTGGGTTTTGCCATGAGACTCTCTTTTAGCTCATTTTTTTGCCACAATGTATGAATTTATTCCCTAACAAAACAAAGATTTCGCAGAGAAGCACTCAGAATAGAAACCTTTGATCTCTCCAAGGTTGCTAGCAGAGGTAGCTGTGGTCTTATGAGGTCTGCCCTGGCCCTGGAAACACAGCTTATACAGTCCTGCGCATCAGTGTTCTGCATCACCTCCAGCTCTGACCGAGTCTTTGTCTTTTCTCAGGTGGAGAATCTCCTCTACAAAAGCCTCCATCGGTATTCTCGTTCAGTGCTTCTCATCACTCAGCGTCTAAGTTTGGTGGAGCAAGCTCACCAAATCCTCTTTCTGGAAGAGGGCATCATCCGTGAGGCAGGAACCCATGAACAGCTCATGGAGAAGAGAGGACGCTACTGGACCATGGTACAGGCTCCTGGGGGGCCAGGGGCTCCTAATTGAGAAATCATGGACTTTATACACTCTAGCTTCCTTCTTTTCCCTCTTCTCTTTCTGATGGAGAATTTGGGAACAAAGAGGACCAATGGCAGAGTAGGCAGCTGCTTCGAGAAGATGTTACGTCCTGAAATATAACCCCTTGATGATACCTGAAATTCTGCCATGAGTGTTACTAAGTTTTCTCTCAAAGCACTTCTTCATAATGCAGATTGGACTGCAAACCCAGGGTTTATGACTTAGTGTGAATAGATTTAGGCCAGGGTTGATGGCACTCTGACAAATGAAAAGAGACACTCAGAATATGCAGAAAGGGGAACTCGGCTCCTTTCTAGTAGAGCAAAGAGTTAAGCTGTTTTAACCTGTGAATTCTTGATATGTATAATAAAACGGGTATTTTGTACTGTGGTTTCCGGTGTGTTTCTGTGGCACTTAACGGCGTAATAGCTTTGCAGCTTACTTTTCAGGGAATTCTTGTCTCTCTCCTTTAGTGTTCTCTGTGTTTCACAGCCCAAAGGGCAGCATCTTCTCTCCTTTCATGTTCTACATCCTATGGTTTCCTCCTCCACCTCGCAAACTCCCAAACAGGAGCAAGGCTCCAGACAGCACCTTCCAGGGTACCAGCCGCTGCGGTTAGAACCATGAACTTCCTGGTGGGGAGGGGGAGGGTGAGCGAGGCCTCACCCTTCACCACCTCACCGGCAGAAGTCCTTGCAGCGCTCTCCGAGCTCCGATGTTACTTCCCCCGGAGGACTAATCTCTGAATGGGAGGCGTGGCGATTCCTTTCCCTTCCATTCAGCGAGGGCCATGGTTGTGTGACGTTAGCAATTGCTAGGCAGATCAGTTCAAAGCAGGTTGCAGAAGGAGGCGGAGTTGAAAAGCGTTAAAAGAGCTGCCTTTAGCCTAGTGAGGAGGAAGCCAGAGAGGAGGCGGGCAGAAAGAGCTTGTCCTTTGTGGGGTGGCCACAGGTTGGAGAGATCGTTGAACAGGGAGGCGCCCTATGAGGAACACGTCAAAAACTTGACAGATTCCCCCTTCTTCTTGGTGCATCCCTTTGCCCCAAGACCTGTCCTTTCAACTCAAGTCCCCTACTTTTATGAAATCATCTTTTTAAGAGCCCTTTTGGGAAAGGCAGAAGATGAGCGAAAGATAGGGGATGGACAGAGCTGGTGACTGCAGCCTTGAGCATGGAGCAGGGCAGGGCAGGGCTCCGTCTTGTTCAGAGGGTCCCTGTGAGTCTAGTCTACTTCAGACACCTGACAACCCACCATCAAGAACCCACTGGCTCCCTGTGTGGAAGGGCTCCCGGACCGCCTGCTTTCAGCTGCAAGGCCAGGCTTTAGAAGATGCGACCCCTATCCCTGTGTGCTGACAGTCATTTCCTCTACCTCCACGAAGCCAGAGCTCAGAAACCTGCCTCCAACATCATGTTCCAGGCCCTTTGACAATCACTGGGCTCTTTACAGAAAGGGCAGGGGGGTGTGAAGGGAGGGGGCAATTCTGGCTCCCTCCCCTTCGGACTGAGGCTTTCGCTTTCACTTCCTCCTCCGAGAACCGACAGATCTCGGTGCGTGTGCGATCATGGCGCTTCTGGATGTGTGCGGAGTCCCCCGAGGGCAGCGCGAGGACTGGGCGCTCCCAGGCGCCGGCAGCGCCAGGCACTGCTTGGACCCCGGACACTACAGTTTCTCTATGCAATCTCCGGAGTTCGCCCTCCCACGGGGAATGCAGGTTGGGACTCTTTGGGCATCCCGGGAGGATGTGAGGGGCTATTTTAAGATAGTCCAGCAGGGAGATTGGCGCTGGGGGGCATTTTACAGGGTCCAGAAAGCAACGTCCAGGCTCAGATCCCAGGAAGAAGCCACGTGGGACTGGGGAGGGGAGTTACCGATTCCCTGAGGGTTCGGAAATGTACATTCGGGGATGGGCAAAGATTTGGGGTGGGGGCTCTCCCAGGCAAAGGCTAGACTTAGTGCCCTTTCCCCCCACCGCACACAAATCACGAAGTCTTTTTCAAGGCTTATCTTATGGCTTGGAAACCTATGAACTTGGGAGGTTCGCTTGGTCTGCCTTGGCAAACCGCTGTTGTATGGCTTGGATCAGGTCATTTATTCAGCCTAGACCTCAGACTGCTCTTCTGTAGAAAGGGGATGTTATTAATGAACGCACATATAAATGAACTGTGTGTGGAGAATAACATTAAAATCACCCTTTGATTCTTGGTGTGGTGCGCCTCCTCTTTTCCTTCTTCCTGGCCATTTCCTCTTGGAGAACTGTTTTTAACGTTTACACTTATTGATGGTGGGGAAACTTCACCGTATCAACTCACCCCCGCCATATTCTTCAAAACTTATTCCTGGAGCCTCTCACCAAGAAAGTTTTCAGTGCCCCATTCTCTAATCTTTCCTCAGCCGGTGGAATTCTTCCAGTCCCTGTGTGGGGACAAAGAAAGGAATGTTCAGATTGAGATGGCCCATGGCACCACCACGCTAGCCTTCAAGTTCCAGCACGGAGTGATCGTGGCAGTGGATTCCCGGGCCTCTGCTGGGAGCTACATTGGTGAGTGTGTGCTCTACCGACATGATTCCGGGTTCCTACTCAGCAGGAGCCCAACATCTGCAGCAAATGGAAACTAGTACTGACTTAAGACACACAGGGAGAGCTGTGGGACCATTGTCCTTTGAAAACTCTGTTCTTCCAGCCACCTTACAGGTGAACAAGGTGATTGAGATTAACCCTTACCTACTTGGCACCATGTCAGGCTGTGCTGCTGACTGTCAGTACTGGGAGCGCCTGCTGGCCAAGGAATGCAGGTGAGCAAGGCCTCACATCTCCCTTTCTGCCCCTCATGGTCAATTCCTGAATGCCCAAGAGCACTGCTGCTCCACCAGCCTTGGTGCCTATCAAGAAGTCAGATAATATCATCAGTGATTTATCACTTAGGGAGCTCTGGTGACCTAGTGGTATTTATCACGTGGAGAGGGTGAATCCAGATCACTCCTCAGAAGCAAGAATGGTGAAACTTGATCTCATATACTTTGGGCATGTTGCTAGGAGAGATTATTCTTTGGAAAAGGATATCCTGTGTGGAAAGCTTCTGAAGGGACAGCAAAGCAGAGGAAGACCCTCAACCAGGTGGATTGACACAGTGATTGCAGCAATGGGCTTGAGTGTGTCAGAGATTGTGAGGTTGACACAGGATAGGACAGGATTCAGTTCTATTGTTTATAGTGTTGCTATGAGTCATATTTGACTTTATAGCAAATAATGATAATAAGAGTTGTTATTTGTCACTGGCATCATCAACCTTAGCAGTGTCACTTGTTAGAATTGCTTTTTAATGCTTTGTTGTTGATGATTGCTGTCAAGTCGAGCTGGACTCATAGTAGGAGTGGCATCCACTAAACAACATGCCTCTGGAAACTCTCTTTATACTTTAAGGGTTTTAAGTTTCAAATATCTTCCCAATAATTTTGTTGTTGCTGATGACTCCACCTCATAATGACCCTGTGTACAATAGAGTGAAACCCTGAAACCTTGCCCTGTCCTCTGTCATGCTCACAATTGCTGCTGTGGCGTTTTGCTCTTGCAGCTTTTATGTCAATTCATTTCACTGAGGGTCTTCCTTTCCCCCCTCCCTTTAGCTGACTCTCCACCAACCATGACGGTTTTCTCCAGGGCCTGGATTCCCCTGATAACCTGGTCCTTCAAACCAAAACCCAGCTCACTACTTTTGAGTCTGTTCTGCCTCATAGTGACCCTTTATTGGGTTTCTGAGGTTGTACATACTTATGGAAGGAGATTGCCCACCTCCCTTTGCAGAACAACTGGTAGCTTTGAACTGATCACCATCTGGTTAGCAATGCAACACATACTACATACACTCCAGTATCAGAGCTCCTTCAAACAACTCATTTGCTGTCGAGTTGGAACGGACTAATAGCTGACACTCCGGAGGATTTTCAGAGGTTGCAAATCACACAGGAGGAGATGGCCCATCTTGGTCCTGAGGAGCTGCTGGTGGATTTGAACTGTCAGGGAGGTACCACCTTTGGGTGAGCAGCAAGGCTCCCTATCCACTAGGCCACCAGAGTCACTTAAATTCTGCAACATACTTCCTTTCAAATGCTTCTCTTTTCAATGATTTCCTGCCCATCAAGTATATGACTTAGAAAACTACCTTATGCTAACTTCCCCTGCCAGCTCTAAGTATTCCCTGTTGTCCTCACCCAGGCTGTATTATCTTCGAAATGGGGAGCGCATCTCCGTGTCAGCAGCCTCCAAACTGCTCTCCAACATGATGTGCCAGTACCGCGGCATGGGCCTCTCCATGGGCAGCATGATCTGTGGTTGGGACAAGAAGGTAGGTGGGTGCTTGCCACTCCCCCTTGTTCCCCTCTATAGGGATGGGGAATATTTTCTCCATTTTACAACCCCATTTCTTCTTCTACAAGACTTATGGCATACAAAACAGCTGGCTACAGAGCTGTTTCAGTGTATCCATGAGCCAATTTTTGGCCCAGATGTGGGCCATGTTTATATGTATTTTGTAGACTTGCCTCTTTTGATAAAGCAGTTTATTCTAAGCATATTATTCTTTTCTTTCTCCCCAAAGTCCTGTTTGTTACCAAAATGTTATCTTCCATCCCCACGATAATCCATAGTAGTGACCAGGAGGCAGTCGTCAGAACAGAGCAAGGGAACACAGCATGGTTCAAAATTGGGAAGGGCGTACGCCAGGGATGCATCCTATCTCCATACCT